ACTATGTTTTCACATTGATTCAAATGTTCAAAGTTGGAGTCCTGTAACAAATAGATTCTCTTTTATGTTGTTTGTTTTTCTAAAAAAAAAAAAAAAAAAAATAAAAAAAAAAAAAAAGAGCTAATTATAATATATTCCTTGTGAAGCTAATATTAAGGAGCACTGGTTTCAAAATCCTTGTCATTATAGTTTCATCAATATTCTCTATTACATGCAGGTTACTTAGATAATTTCCCAATAATATGCTGCCAAGTACTGATTGTTTCCATGTAGCCCACTGGAAGCATTCTGTAAACTGCAGTATTTTGTAAAGGTTAAACCCAAGATGCAGTTAAACAGACTCAGTGTTCACCCCATTTCTTCCAAGTTCATCCTGCTTCCACAGGATATCTTCACTACAGGATATCCGGCACTGTGTGGAAAACTAACTTTGTATTTAAGAATGATGATTTTTCATCTCAGAGAGTTGGGATTTCCTGAATGAAAGCACCAAAACTATTGAGAAAGGTACCACTCCATCCTTCCTACAGAGTAAAATTGGTATTGTAACATCGTGACTTCCCTATGACTCAAGAACCAATAGCTAAATATGACTCCCATCCTTTCATCGTAATGCTTGAAGGGAAGTAATGTGACCCCTCAAGCAGGGACCACAGACCAGATGTTGGAAGTATTGACTTCTCCGTGCTGTCAGTCTCTTGCAGGGTTAATAGGACTTCACAGGATATTTTCGGGAATCAGGTTCTATATTAAAATTGCTTCAAGAAGGAAAGAACACAAATCTGCAATAGGTTAGGAAATGCTTCATAGATCTTACTGGAAAGTATGAGTGAGTTAAGTATGGTGACTTCAGCCTGATACTGCAGTACCTATGCTAAATTCTAATCAATGGTTCTGGGTACCTGTATGAGTTCTGCAGCAGTAGTTATACCCCTTAGTGAGTGCCATGTAAACTTGTCACTGAGATATTATGAGGTAACCTCCCAGTTGGAATACAGCAAATAATTTCCATTAGCATCTGAACCCACAAAGTCACTCAGTTTCAGTTTGCCTTTGTTATTTCACTCGCTTCAGTATATTTTAACAAATAGAGCATTTATCACTGAATTGTCTTTCATTTTAATTTCATTTCATCAACCTCTTATTCCTCAGGTAAAATTGAGATCTTGGAATGAATCATAGAATTACAGAATGGTTTGGGTTAGAAGGGACCTGTAAGATCATCTATTTCTAAGCCCTGCTATAGGCAGGGACACCTCCCTTCAGACCAGGCTCTTCAAAACCCCACCCAGCCTTGCCTTGAATGCTTGCAGGAAGAGGGATCCACAACATCACTGGGCAACCTGTTCCAGTGTCAAGATAACTGAATTTTTATGAATAGTATGATGTGAAATCTTAAAGAATAAGCATTCTTCACAGAAAGAACACAGCACCTCTAAGCTGCTTCTAATTCTGAAGGAAGACATGAAGCACCTTCAGAGGATGAATCTAGAAATAAAAGTTTTAATTCTGATGGGCTTTAAAGAGCAGAGCTATTGTATTATTGTACCTCTTAGCTTTACCATCTCTATCTGCCAACAAACTCATCGAGGTTCTGCTGTTCTTTATTTTTTTTCTTTCCCACTCATCCCGTTCTTCCCTTCTTAAACTTTCCTGTTCTCTACAGATATCAGTATCTTTTCTTTCAGAATGTCTACATCACTAATATAATCCAGAATGAAACTCACTGCTATTTTTTTTTTTCGATCTGTGCTACACTGGAAATTGTCATTTTTCCCTGAGTACCTATTTGTGGTTGTTTTGTTTTGTTTTTTTTTTTCATTTCCAGTTACATGAGTTGGCTGAAAAGAAACTTTCTCCCTTCAAACCATGCTTTGCTAATTTAGCTATTCCAATCTGTTGCCTCCTAATGGAGTAAGAGCTACTAATGAAAATGGCAGTGCTATCCTTAGCGTGCCAGTCTGTGTTACCACCACACTTTACCAGATTTTGCTGCAAGGTATTTAAGGAGAGCTAACTTTGAGAAAAGTTGTTTTCATGTAGAATTTCAGTTAAAACAGTAAAAATATGTGACTTGGTGTTGATTGGATGACAGATCTTCTGATTTATTAGATGTGGCCAAATCTAATATAGAAATACTAATTTCCCTCTCTGCCCTGGTTTATTAGATGTGGCCAAATCTAATATAGAAATACTAATTCTCCC